GTCTGTGCCCCCGCAGAGGACGAGATGTTCTCGGACATCTACAAGATCCGGGAGGTGGCGAACGGCCTGTGCCTGGAAGTGGAGGGGAAGGTGAGTGGCCCGCCCGCCCCGAGGGAGGGGGGGAGAGGGAGGCAGGCCTCGCTGCGGTGACTCAGGGCCCGGCCACTGCGTGGAGCCGGGCCTGCCGGGCCGGTGACGGAGGCAGGGTTTGGGGAGAGCGGGCTGGCTTCCCTGGCAGGGGCCCGAGAGGGGGAGACCCACCACGGCCTGGTGCCTGTGTTCGGGGCAGGGCCGGCCGCTGCCGCAAGTGGTGTGCCCCGAGGTGGAGTGCAGCGCCGGCGGTGTAATGAAGCTTTGGTCAGGCACCGGGAGAGGAGCCCTGGCTTCAGAAATCCGTGCTCGGGCTGCAGTCAGGTTCCTTGCACTTAACTGTGGCTCTGAAGTCATGCCCTGCTGTCAGGTCATAGATGTGTAAGAGCGGTAGCATGAAGATTTTCACAGAGCCGTTAAGTTTTTTGATGTCTCTAAATCTAGATGGTCACCAGGACAGAGGGTCAAATTGATGACTCTCTAATTGGTGGCAATGCCTCTGCTGAAGGTCCTGAGGGAGATGGAACAGAAGCCACGGTCATAACTGGTGTTGATATAGTAATAAACCACCACCTTCAGGAAACCAGCTTTACAAAAGAATCCTACAAGAAGTACATCAAGGACTACATGAAAGCGTAAGTGTGGGTAGGCATTTTCTTTAAATGAGATTGCAAAATTTTTAGGTGCTGAGATTTTAAAAACGGCCTTGGATTTTATTCCCAGTAGGTGTTAGTTCTGATACAGGTGCCAAACTGGCTGTGAATTTCAGTAATGTCTTAATACTTGGCAAAACTAGAGATCTAAAGAATTGTTACTGGAATATCTAAGTTTATCTTGGCTGAGGTAGAGGACCTGATCATGTGCTATGGATATTATTTGTAACCTTGCTGTTTTCTTTTGGATTCCTCTATGCCAAATGTTCATGTGGAAGAGGGTGAGGCGTGAAGAAAAGCTTCATGAAGCTTTTCTAACTTGACAGTTTAAATGTCGCAAAACATTGTGTGTGAATGGAACTTCTTGCTAGTTCAAGATTTAATTTCTGTTGCTCATGGTTCAATGGGTTATTAGTGTTAAAGATGAACATGCTTTGTGATACTGATAGTACTAGGTGCTGTTAGGTGCTGTGGAAATGGCTTGTTCATTTTTGTTTACCACTGGCCTAGAAGTAACATGAGTTTGATATAATTGGTGGGCACTATTCTGCTATAATTCACTAGCAAAATTAAGTTAAAATTCAGGGGCTTGAGGGGGAAAGACAGTGAAATCAAGTGATTTGACTGCTGTTAACTCTGTGTTACTGCTGTTAACTCTGTGTTGTGGTGCTACACATTGAAGTTACTAAGTTAGAACAAGCTTTTTTTTTTCTTTCCAGAATCAAAGCTAGACTTGAGGAACACAAGCCAGAGAGAGTAAAGCCTTTCATGACAGGGGCTGCAGAACAAATCAAACACATCCTCGCTAACTTCAAAAACTACCAGGTAATGAAACTTATGTCTCCTTACAGCAGTATTGCAGTGATATTCATCTGAACTAGCTTATTGAAGGTTTTGAGGGCTCCAGTTGTGGGGATGTAACTTGCTCCTCTCTAAGACTATTAGAGGCCCTGAGAGTCAGGGAGGAGAAAGAGTGGAAGACTCCCAAGTGTTTGAGATCTCACCTCAGCTTGCAATGCTTGTAGTTAATGATATCTAGTTACCACTATTTAGGAACCATGGTGTTAAAGACTTGAAAGACTGATCACTTTGGCCCCTGCTGTGTCTTACTCTGCTGTTCATAGCAATGTGGTAAGGTTAGTGATACTGAAATGGACAAGTGTCAGGAAGCAAAATCCCTGCAGCTAGTCAGGGAGACTTTTAAACTGAACTTGGAGATGTTACAGCTTTCTTGTATAAAAAGGCACTTTGTCCTGTTAATAGCTCATTAAATATCTCAGTAACACTTTTCTCTGAAGTTCTTTGTAGGAGAGAACATGAATCCAGATGGTATGGTGGCTCTCCTGGATTTCCGTGAGGATGGTGTGACCCCATATATGATTTTCTTTAAGGACGGCTTAGAAATCGAGAAGTGTGTAAGTACTGACCTGAATTGGATGAATGTGCCTAACTACATGATTACCTCTTTCAATGCATCACTTTGTGTCCCTGTTAAAGTTGAACAGTAGCTGCCAGTTTAAAAACTTAAAGTTCATCTAAGTACAGCCTAATTGCTGCTTCATATTGTACTACGTGGCTGAAACTTCCCTTGTATACTATTCAGTTATACTAGAGGGACATAGTTTCACTGCAATGATGCATGGTGAGTTAATGGCTAAGAAATGCGGGAAGAATTGCCTTGGTGAGATGCGTGTAATTGGTAATGGTTTTAAACTCTTAGATTAAAGACAGTGTCCTTTCAAAAGGACCACTTCTACTTCGCATTCCTCTTGTGGGGGTTAATGCTGAAGTACCTTACATGGTCACATTCCATCCTCCTCTCTCACTTAATCTGATGCCCTTATTTTGTTATGCAAGAGCTGTCTGTTTAAATACTGCCCTCAATTTGGAAACATGGTAATACTTGAATGAGTGCTTAACCTTATTGTATCTGGGATCTCCCAGCTGCCTGAGCTCAGACCACTCCTGTGGTCTGCTTTAACTGTCCTATCTTGAAATGTGGTTGCAGTGAAACAATATTTGAATCCCCATACTTGCATTTTTGGGCTTACTTGGAGAGCTGTGGAATTCACTGCAGGCTAGCAGCATGGGATCACTGATTGCTTTTCCCAGTCTTTGTGGACATATGATGTCTGTTTATAGCCAGCTAAATTTATCTGTAAAGCCTCTTACAATCTTTCTGGTATGCAAGTCATGTAAAGATGAACCAACTTCTAGTGTGGAGCAGTAGCCCAACTAAAGGAACACTTCTACTGGCCGAAGCAGACACACCACTTACTGCAGCTTGAGTGAAGGGTGATGTCTGCCCTGGGTCCTGGAACTGGTGGTCACTGGGAAGGTGCCTCCTCGGAGCAGCAGCCTGTGTGCATCTCCACTACTTGAGCAGACCTTTTGGGTGTATGATTGGGTTTAACTCCTGCATCAAGATGGAGCGAAGGAATAGTAGCAGGGTGTTCCAGTGGGCAAAAATACTCTTCCAGCTTCTTGGTAAAGCTCAGCACATACATGGTAGGCTTTAGTGCTGGTCGAGGGCTTGCTCTTTTTTGAGAGGAAACCTGAAACTTGGTGTGTCAAGCAAAAAGAGTGAATGAGTATCCTGTCTGGCTTGCTCAGCAGCTGATGCCAGTTGCTTTATGTATTGTAAAACTGATCAGCATCCTCTGATAGACCATGAGCACTTTTCTTGTTGCTCTCTGGTTTGCACTAAGATGCAAAAATAACTTCCTTGCACTTTCTGCCTGCCTGCCTGTGGCAGCTCAGATTGAATTAGGGAATACACAAATAAATTGTAGAAACTTGCTGTGACTGTCATGACCTTGGGCTAACACTTGCTACTCTTGTTTCAGTAACAAATCAAACAGAATGGTTTTGGATCACCTGTCTTCATAGCTGGCTGCTGTTTCTTCTTCATCGGCACAACACCAGGAATCGGCAATGTCTAATAACTGGACTGATGTCATCTTGAGCTTTATTCACTTATTTTGACCCTGATTTGGAGTGGAGGCATTGTTTTAAAAAAAGAAAACCAAACATCTGTCATGTAGGTTGTCTAAAATAAAACTCATTTAAACCCATTCTAGGTGATACCTCTTGGTCTAGTGTGTTTCTTAGGGTGCCTTGCAGGAGAGGTTGCAGCAAGGTGTTTGTCCAAGGATTTGGTACTGTCGGTAGTATAGCCTGGTCCTAGCACGCTACAACTTGACTGTCTCCAGACAGACTTCACGCAGTTTCTACCTGTGTCATTGGAGTGCAAGAGCAGGCTGAGGTCAATAAGGCAGAGCCCAAGAAATGTCGTCGTAATGGAGTGGACCACCTTCATCTTTCATGATTGTACAGAGACTTCTCTCTGGATTAATAATTAAAAAAAAAACAAAACAGAATGGAATATGTGCTACTCGAGCTGAGTGCTGGCTGAGCATCTATTGTCAGACAAGGATACTTGAGTCTGTCCTCAGTTGTAGTATGACTTCAAGATCCAGGTAGGATGGATGGAGTGCAAGTCTTAACAGCAGCATGCTCTGAGCCCAGGTGCTAGGAACAGTCTGGGGAGAGAGTGAAATGGTAGGTTTTCTAGCACAGCCTGACTCTGACACTAGCTCTTCTGTATTGGACAGCTATTCAGGAACAGATTAACTAGAGATTGGTCAAATGGCAAGATCCAGGGGTTTTTCATACTTCTTGGGGAGAGAAGTGTCGGAATGGCCTAGCCCTGTCCTAGGCTTAATACAAAGCAGGTGCATGCCTGGGCTTGAGACTTACCTAAGTATAACTTAACTGTTCCTGCTGTGTTCCTTGTTGGGAAATGCATCTGTTTGACAGACCTGGAGCAAACTGCCATTGCTCTTCTGGTTCTTGCTGAGATGCAACAGTAGCCAGTTCCTTGCGCTTTCTGTCTGTCCAACCTCATGGCAGTTTGGATTGAATAAAGGAGCACAAATCCCTTCACAGAGCCCCATCTGGGGCAAGGGGCTTTATGTCACTGCTGACAGTGTGACTCTGTACCTGACATGGGGTCTTGCCTTGGACTGCAAATCATTAACTGTTATTTTTTACTGCAGTGATGGCAGTGGTGTAGGAGGTGCCTGAAAGGGGAAGGCATGATCCACTTTGCAGCTGTTGATCTGTGAGGCCCCAGGCCTCCAGAGTTTTGGCATCTTTGTCTTGCATGTTGGTTTTTGGCCCCAGGCTGATCTGAAGGTAGGTTTCTGCAGGGGTGAGATAGATGTGGCAGCAGGCTGGGAGGAGTGAGATACTGGCAGTGGAGGTGGGAGTGGAGCATGCCCTGGTTACCTTGAAGGTTCCTGTCTGGTTTAAACACACCCTATTTAGTTTTATGGGAACTTCATTTACATATGTTTTTTTGGCTTTCCCAGGGAAGGGTTTTGGGTCAGCTGTGCTTCTGGCTGAGGTACAATTTCAGTCTAATCTGAGCAATGTAAACTAATGCTCCTCTGCCTTCGTGCGATGAGACTGAAAGGCAGGGAGGCAGGTTCAGAGCCTAAATAAAATCACTGTAAGCCAACTCTTGCTTTCCTTGCACAAGATTTGTTTAAAAGGGCCAGTTGAAGATGTTTGCTTACCTTCCTGTTGGATCTTTGTTGAAAACTTGGAACCCTTAAGGAAGGGGAGAGTAAGCACTTGCTTAGTTTGAGATGTAATTGCTTATCAGTGGAGCAAGGTTAGTGTGGGCAGGGCAGTGCTTGTATGGCTGTGCAGCCCCTAATACTCTTGGCTTCCACTACCAGTGAGTCAGTGCTTAAAACTGAGCGGAGCTGGTATGTGGAAGTAAAAATAGCTCTTCCCCTTGCCTGGCTGCTGGGCTAGTTAGGCTGAGGCTGGGAACCCTGGGCACAAGTCTGGAGCAAAGGGCTGTGTGGCAGCTGTGTCCAGATGATGAAGTGCTGCTTTGAAAAGCAGGTGCTTAAAGCCATGATGAGCACAGCCTTGCTGTTGAGTTGAATGGCTTACGGCAAGTTGTGTGACATCCTGTCTGTGCTCCAGACTAATTGGGATATTTAATTTGTGTGCAAACATGCCTAACTAGTGGGTCACATACTCCTATCAATGTATGCTTTTCTGCATGGTGGAGCCTCTGATGGGAAGTCTCCCTGCAGCCTATTGTAGGAAAGTGTCAGCTCAGATGCTCTTGAGGTGCAGGATTTTATTCTGCTTATCTCTCCAGAGACTTGCAAGAGAAGTGGTTTTGCTGCTGGCTGCACCACGCTTCCCAAAAATGCAGTTTCTCAGGGAAAAGGGCAAGCTGCCTTCTGCAGTGTCAAGGCTGCCAGGCACCAGGGAGGAGAGGTTAAACCACACTCAGTGGTGGGGAAGGATGGTGTAGGTGGCAAACAGTGACCGCTGCTGTGGTAGCTGCCTGCAGTGGAGGCAGGGCGAGGGGAAAGTTGGGATGCAGCTCCTTGCGTTGGGAGCTGCTACATGCTGTGAAGTGGGAGGCCCGTGGCTGGCAATTGTGCTTGTCAACAATCCTTGGTGCAACTTTGAGTTGGAAATGAAGTCAGTGTATTTCCTCATAATCCAATTCCTCCTCTTTTGGCCCCTGTTCATTTCAAGCAGCTGTTTTCTGGGGCTGAAAACCAAAAGTGATTTGAAAAGGGAAGGCTTCATGCTGCTGTAATGCTGCAGTTTTGGAGTTACTAAACTCATAAATCCCCCATCATTACAAATTACCCAGGTGCTATTTAAACACAGCCTGAAGGACAGCTTAAAAACCTAGCCCCATCTTGTTTTAAAATGTATTTGAGGCTTATATCTTGCATTCCTGGGAAGATACTATGTGGCTGGAAGGCCTGAGGAGCTGGGAAGGATCCAAGTAGCTTTTCCCCTGAACTGAGTGGGGTCAAGCAGTTGGGTAGAAACCTTTCCTCTGCTAGCTTGGGTCACAGCCTGGTGTGGGACCAGGAAGCTGCTCCTGCACCCACCATGAGCTGGGTGATTGCTCGTAAAGGGGAAGAAAATGCTCCCTTTTTAGTTTTGTACTTTTGTGGTTAGGGAGTGGTGTCTTGAGGCCAGAGGAAGCAGCTACTGTGCTGGGCACGTGTCCCATAGTCCCCTTGGCCTTTTTCCCTCCCACCCCACAATTCACCTTCAATGCCTGATCTTTGTCTCACAATTTTACTTCCCTAGCTGGGTCTTGCCCCATCTACAAATCCACTCTTATTGCTCTCAAAGCTTCCCACAGCGTCTCCAGCTCACAGCCTGTGTGCAGAGATTCAGCCAAGCACTGGCAAAAAAATCCTCCCCCCTGCAGGCCAGTGATTGTACTGTTAGCATCTGAACCCTGCTGCAGCACCTTGTTGCTCCTTGTCTGCCTCCTTTGAGGAGAAAGGGTGCAGGCTTGGGGACGTTCGTGCAGCGCAGGGAGCATTTAGTGTGATGGGAGAGGTGCTGGTGGGGCCAGGGGGAAGTTAGATACCACTATTCCCTCAGGTACCCTCTTAGCCAAGCTAGGCCATGTTTGTCCCTTGGCTTTGTCCACTTAGCGTGGGCAGGGGGTGGGTGCTGGAGCCTGGGTGGGTGATCGTCCTGGAGCCTTGTGCAGCCCTCGGCTTTGGCACAAGGAGGGAAAACCTGCAAAGGGAAAACTTTAAATGAGTGGATGTAGGGAACAGAGTTGGTGTTTGGGTGGGTTTTTTTTTTTTTATGTGGTTTAGCTTAAGGTCAGGAGAGACTGTAAGTTTAAGACATGGTTGTCAGAGAAATAAAATTGGATTTTTTTTAAAATATACATAGAAAAAATTGCAACTTGCTTCCTTCGCTTAGCCAGTGCTATGCATGTTGAGCTGGCTCAGGCCAGCCTGCTGCAGTCCTGGCAGTGTTTTCAGTGACAGCTGTCTAGGGAGGATGCTTTTATTAAACGGCAATAGTATCTGCATCAAGATACCTCTTTCTCACATGCTGCTGTTAGCTTGGAGCAGGTAAGACACCTCCCTCCGTTCCCATGGACCTCCAGCTGCACTTCAGCTCTGCAAGTTGCTTCCCTGGGATGCAGCTGCTGTTGTAAACTGGGATGTTCTGCCCTGTGCAAGCCAGCAAGTAAATCTCCATGTCGCCACTAGCCCACAGTGGGAGAGCAGCAGTTAAACACCGTGTTCATTTAGCTCAGAGATAAACGTCTCAGTAGGAGGAAAAAAAAAACCAAACTAGCCAAGCCTGAGAGTCTTTGCCATAAACAGCCCAAAATTCATTGCCAGGAATGCAACTGTGCTGGTTTATGGTCCCTGTGCCTTGGCTGTCTTTTGGTTGAAGTTGCAGCTGGAAGCTGTTGTGCAAAGATCACAGCCAAGTGGTTGTGGTCAGAGCTGGAGGCCTGGTGGAGGTTGGGATTTTTTTGTGCCAGCAGATGCTGGTAACCCCGGAATTGTGTTCTGTAGGAGTGTGGCAGGATGTTGTTGAAGATGTGCTTAGCTGCTGGGTGTTTCGAGCCATTAGATGTGCATTCATCACCTTCCACTTTTAGCAGAAAGGAGTCAAACACCCTAGGAGGCCTTTTTAGACTGTTTTGATGTGTGATACCAACCTTGCCACTGAGGCAGCAGCTGAACACGGTGAGAATTATGAGCAATTGTTTCTCTGCAGCCCTACTGTTACCCTGGGAGCCAATAGCTGGGATTCACCGCCCTGTCTGTGACCAGCAGCAATGGGAGGAAGCACTAATGGCATTTCTTCTCCCATACTGAGCAAGGTATGAGTATGCTGGCAGCCCTGCCAAAGCAACTGCAGCTTTTATAAGGCATGTGCAGAAAACTAAATGTCCACAAAGGATTTAAGGATTAGTTTCCCAAGTTCTTCATAACAGAGTAGTCAAGAGGCCATGTAAAGCTGGATGCTGCCTCCCTGTTCACTGTGGATGCCCAGCTAGCAAACCCCCACTGTTGCTACTGGCTGAGGTTCATCTCTACCTACAGCTGTGCCTGGGCTGGGCACCCTCGGCTCCCCCAGTTGAGGCAGGAAGGGATGATTTCTGTGGTTGCTGTGGGCTGTAGCCATAAAACTCTGCAGCTGCTGGTGCTTGGTCAGGCTGCCCACAAAGAGGTGTTTGAGGGGGCTGGTGCAGCCCGTCACCCATTGTCTTTGGCTGCCCTGGCCCAGAGGCCACCTCCTGGCAGCATGTGCTGTTCAGTTTACCTGTTGTGGTGGAGCTAAGAGTGCTATGATCCCCATAAACCCACCTGATTTTTAAGCTGAATGGGCAAGATAGCAGCTGCCCAGAAGTAGACGGGTTTCACAGTCACAAGGCCACCTTGCTTACTGTGGGCCAGACAGCTTTGGGAAGGGCACACAGGAGGAAAATCCTTTGGCTGGGGGTGCATGGGCTGGCAGACTCCACATGGATGCAGCCCTTGCTGCTTGCCGCCTGTCATCACGAGTATAAATAGCATCTTCCCAAGGCTGGGCTTGTCTGGGTGGTGGAGGGAGGCTTTTCAGGAATCCAAGCTGCATTTTATGTGAGCCTCCTTGGGGGGGAAAAAAAAAAAAATAACCAGACCTTAAATTAAAAGTGTGAAGCCCAGGGTGCACTGGTCTCATTTTCCTCCTCTAGTGCTGTCAACTGTTGCACCACAGACTGGTGGGGACAGCTGGATGGGTGCAGGCATAGACCCAGGCAGCTGAGGAAGGGCTCTCCGTTGTTTTCTCTGTTGCTTTTAATCAAGCCTTTGCGCTTGCCTGTTCCTCTGGCGCTTGGTACTTGGTTGTCCATCTCAGCTGTTGAAAGCCTTCCCTAAGTCTTGGAGGTGTTCAGGCCCCCGTGGAAATCCCACTCTCAAGAATGAGCTCCAGAGGTAAAACAAGTGAATGGAGTAGAGAGGAAAAGAAGTAGTTGTGATCTTCCTTTCAAGACGGAAAATCAACTACTGCAGCTTCTCCCTTCTATTTGCCTATAGTTGCAAACATACTGGCTGCAAAAGCCCAAACCCCTGTGTATGCCATCAGGAGCAGGAAGCCCTTTCTCTGATGGCTGCACTTCTCAAGGAATGCATTTTGGCTGAGGTACTCCCAAGACCAGTACCAAGCAGCTCCTTACACTGAGGTTTGCTGAGCTGGGCAGAACAGGGTAGCTGTAAGTTTAGCTGCTGGTGCTCAGATCTTACTTATCCAAGCCCTAAGTGTGGTTGGCTGAAGTGATGTCAATGGCACCTATGTTCATTGAGTCCTCTGGCTTAGAGGTGCCTCTTGTTTCCCATCCAAATATCAATTCCTTACTCCAAAATGCAATGAACTCAAATTTTTTTTGAGTTTGAGAAATGAAGGTGGAAGAGTTTGACCTTGAGCCAGACAAGAGATGTGACCCTTAAGACACCTGCAGCACTGGGTGCTGAGCTCTTCTGGAAATGGCCTTTTCTGATCTTTCCTATTGGAGTTTGTCATCCTTGTGCGAATAATTAAACACTTCCTGAGAAAGGTTGACCCCGCAGCCCGGTAGCCACACACAGTCTCGGTAAGGAGAGCTGAGAAAAAGAGTCCTCCAGTCATGCCATCAGCATGAGCAATGAGGCAGGTTGTGCCCAGCCACAGAAAAGCTCAAGAAGGAAAGCTATCTTCCAGGTGAGCCTGGAGCAACGACTCAGCTCTGATACTGCGTTAGTGAGAAAAAAAAGATTTGTTAGGAGTCAGTAGATACAGTGACTAATGAAAATGCCATCCTGGCGACAGGGACGTGTGACTGTGGGTGGGCATAGCTGACACATGCAGGAGGTACCTTCAGCTGGAGCCAACTCCAAGCAGCTGGTGAAGACAGTATGTCGCTGACTCAAAGCATGGACAACTTTTAGGGAGCATCCACTGGGATCACAGCAGCTAGTGAGCTCTGATCCTACTCTGAGTTCTGTTCAAAGCTGTGGTGTCAGCAGCAGAGGTCTCGTAGCTGTGAGCTGGCAGAAAGTTATGTTGCTAATGTTCACACTTGGTGCTTTCTGTTCCCATGCCTCATGCAGCCCTGTCTGTCCCACCAGGAGCCTCTGGGGAGGGCTGCAGAGGTGGCAGGCAGATGTTTAGAGCTGTGAGCTGGCAGGGAGGGAAGCAGGGCGGCACTGGTACCAGTCTGTCCCGGGCTGGGTTCAAATCCTCCCCACCCCTTCCTCACGTAGCAGTGACAGCCTCCAGGCTGGCACCTTCTTGCCCATTCCCCGCCCATTAGCAGAGATGTCTCTACTGGGGCAGCTGCATCGCTGTCACCTCACATCAGCTCAGGTGCATGCTGGTACCGCCTGGGCTTACTGAGTATGAAATTTCTGATGACTCAAAGAACTGGTCATTTGGGAGAAGCAATATTAGAGGGGAGACACACTCATCTAATGGCATTTAGCACTTTGATACTTCCACTCATGCCTATGGGACCCACTCGTGGATGAATGTTTTGACCACAATTATTCAAGAACATCTGCATGAGCAGAGTTCATCAGTCAGCAGAGACAACAGCACATGGGAAGACCAGCAGGGAATCATTGTTCATCACTGCCGCAAGTTCAGAGTTTAAATTAATCCAAATGTGGGGGCTGGGGAATCAGACTTGAATGCCTGCGAGCTGCCTCCTCCTCCTCTCTTTTGGCAGACGGCAATCCTGCTAACAGCACTTGTGTACAGTCCTCCCGCAGAACAAGTGGAGCAGAACTGGAGAGTTCTTGCTGGTTATTATGTGCTGGAGCCAAATGAGGTTGCCCCAAATGCTAAATCATTATTGCAGCCTCACATGAAGTTAAACTGGTCCCACAGTGCCTTGAGTTACTGCAGAAGGGACAATGTGGGGCCCATAGCAGTGTGTCTACCCTGCTGCTTCTGTCTCCAGGGTGGGATGTGCTGCAAGACCCTGCGGCTTGCCTGCAGGCTGGATGATGATCTGCCAATGGCACTTAACAGCTCCACCTCCATCTTTACCGTGTGCTCCCACCAGGCAGGAGCCAGCAGAGTCCTTGAATGCACCGCACAGGGCCTGGTGCTGGCACAGAAGAGCATCTTTCATCCTCCTGGTCAGCACCCCTGTGGGTTCGTTGTGCCAGTCTCTCAGGCCACGTGGATTTTGTGGCTGCTCTTAGGGCTAAAATTCCAGTTGCAGCCTAAAAGCTAGAAAACCTTCAAAATCATGCAGGAAGCAGGTAAAAAAGTGCTTCATGAGCCACCTGGCTTCTGGACTGTCCACTGCATGTATTTTCTTCATTTATACTGGCATAGCATCTCCCAGTTCTGTTTCCTAGTTCCATTTTTGAAATGGAGTTTCCTCACTGTCTCAGTCCCCATTTCACCTTGAAAACTGGTCCTACTCCAGTGAAGGCTGCAAGCAAACCAGGACACTTTGGCTTCCCTCAACCCTCCCGTTGCTGGTTGGTTGAAAACCACTGCTCGTTTATTTCTAGCACTCTCCACGTTTTTAATGACACCCATAAAAATTGGTCTTTTGTAAAAAACATGAAACGCATAAAAAAATGGGAGCGCTCCATACACTTTCCATTACTCCTAAGTAGAGCCTGTTTACCCTGTCCAAAGGCACTCTGCAGATCAATAAAATCCCAACTTTACTTAGATCTCCTGGCATTTTGTGCTGATTATGTCTCAAGGCAAATTATGAATGAGTAAACTCACATAAAACCAAAAATACAAGCAGATCCAAAATACTTCTCTGCTGAGCTAATCCTGCTAGAGATTCCACTAAAGGTAACCTTTTGCCTCTGAAACAGTACATTTTTACTTGTAGCACTGAACTGCAACACTACAAAATCAGAATCATATGGCATTCCCCTGCATGGCTTTAGAAGACCACATGAAGGACACAAGGGAGAAGGTGACCTAGACCTTCTAGGTACCTTAGCTGCTCAAACAGGACACAAATCCAACAGAGGAGTCCAGATCATGAAAAGCAAGTCCTCATCCTACATGATTGTGAATGCAAGTCTCCGGAGGACTTGAAGAGCATGAGGAGGGCAGCAGTGTGTGCAGGCTCTGGCTGTTGCTGGGGAACACGTGGTGTACCATAGCAAGACACAAAAGCTGACTTCCCGGGTTCCTCTCAGCATCCTCAGGTACAGCCCGCAGCCATTAGCAAGCTGAGTCCTGCTTGTAGAGCCTGAAAGCACACACACACACACACACACCCCTGGAATGTGATCTGCTTTTCAAAAGTTCTCAGTAGTCCACCTCCTAGGAACTGGACACTTCATGACATGGAAATCTGAGCACCAGCAGGAAGCATATCTGCAGAGATACCTACACAAACAATTCTAGAAAAAAAATTAATCGAGCACACTTAAACTGTGTGACTTATGCGTAAGGGGTTAGAGTTGTTTTACAAACCTCCCAAGGCATTTGACACCCAGCCCCCATCCCCCCATGACCTTTAATTGCTTCCAGGTGGACCAATAATGGAATGTTTGCTTTTCATGCAGATCTGTTATTTTATTAATGTGCGCTGAAGCGATGCACGCATCTGAAGGACCAGAGTGAATGTGAAAGTTGTGCTATAAGACCTCACTTTCTGCTTCTTTTACAAGTACACTAATGCATTTTTTTCCACTGTTTTCTTTGCTCTTTTTTTAAGATAAAAGCTTTGAGAATGTAATTAAATAGTCCTGTCCTATCTCCTTCCCAAAAATGATGCTGAAGAGACAACCCTTGCAATATGCATTTCAAAAATGGGGGAACAGAGACACAGATATATTAAGCAATCTTCCCCAAAACACCCAGAAACCCAGTGGTCAGCCACAAAAACATGGTTTGAAAAAAACCTTCATACCTACGCTATCTAAATCACATGTGTTCACTCAATAATGTAGAACATTGCATAGTACAAATTAAAATAACACTTTTATTGATATGCTTAAACATAAACCATAGGTAACATAAAAAAAATCAAAAGATAAATCTATTCCTTGATGTACATAATAGACAGACATTTCATTTTTTTTCTCAGTAATCACCTGGAGTGGATTTTTGTCTTCCCACTGACCTGTGTATCAGCCTTTGCTTTATGTTTTTTTTTAACTGTGTTGATTTGTTCCCATGGAGTCTAAGGACTGTGATGAGCACCATGGTTGTAGTTCTTCCTAAAGCCTAACCCCAAAAGGAATTTCCACCCAAACACTGTACAGAGCATTGTGTACCTCTGCAGCCTTCCAGATGAAGCCCTGACAGATCCCAGCAGATGCAAGGGTATTAACCTGGAACGCAAAACCACAAAGTTACAGGTTCCTCTAGTACACACTCCTTCAAAGTCATGGAGGCTTGGAAAAGCCACAAAACTACCAAGAAAAAGTAAGATCAGAACTCAAAAGATTTCTAACAAAGATAAATCTAATACAGGTTTATTCTATAAATATTTTTTTCCTGTCAAAAGACAAAACACTTACAGAAACACATAAGAAGTATTTATTGGGGAAAAAAAAATGAAGCTACATAAAATTACAAAGGATCAACTGCTTGAATTTAACTTGAGCCTTGCAAAATTGCGCTGTGCTCAGTCCTGTCTGTAAACCCACCACAGTTCCCTCAGTGCAATCACTCTGATTCTCTCTTGCTTTGTAAAAGCTTTTGTTAATCACTCTTGTCTTCTCCTTGGTAGTGTCTGTATTCTGGCTTCAGCTCCCAAGTGTTTTTGTGGGTCCCCTTTACATTGTAGATGCCTATTTCTCTTAAAATTTCTTTCAAGTATATCTGAAAAGGAAACAAAAATTCAAATTATACAGGCAGGCAATTACTATGGTTCCTACGCATCGTCTCACGATCTGCTCAATCACATCAACTTGGTTGATAAAAACAACCCATGGACAGCAAGGTTGGCTGATTGGCACGAACTTGTGGGAGTCTGTGACAGACTTCAGTCCCCAGGCACCAACAGGGATTAGAGCACCCCAGGTGTAACACCCACCCAGGAGCACCTGAGCCACAGGTGATGGCTCCCGGGCAGTCCCTGCACAGCTGTGCCTGGCTGCGAAGAGGCAGGTACCAAGTAGTTGGATGCTCCACGGGCTGCCGAAACGAGCTCCCAGTGCCTACTCTGGGAAGATGATGCTGAGGTTCTCTCAGACATCTTCCTCCTGCTGGAATTTCTGCACCTGAGCTAAAAGCTCTTGGCTTTTCATCTTGCTTGGGCTGAAATTATTTTGAAACTCCCTGCCTTATTCAGATCCCATCAAAGGCCCAAGCTGTTGGTTTTCATGCCATTTTGCAAAGCTTTAAGCATTTTACTATGGCCTCATTTTTAGCAGAGAGCTGAGCAGGTGCCAGAGAATTTTCTAATACCTTCAAATATTAAGGCAAGGAAGAGAAATTAAGAAAATCCAAGGAAAGCTATGATACCAGTAGTGTAACCTTTGACACAAGACAGCTCACTAATATCACATTCCTCTACTCTTTGTAATAAACACCAGTATTTTGTTTCATTTTTTAAAGAGCTGTTTGCCTGCTTGTTTGTTTAAATATTAATCAGGACTGACTTGAGCGGGTTGCCATGGCAACCACAGACCACAGTTTAAGAACCCCCACATAAAATTCATAATTGCTTTAGTCTGAGACATTTAATCCTCTTTGAGTGCATAAATTGAACTGGAGTTACTGGAACCCTTGTATTCTCTTTATCTACAGTTCCACTAAGTGCAAATATCAACATATACCAACTCATTAAAAAAAGCAAGTATTTGTTGATGACATAGGAAAAAAAGAAAGGCCAATTGCCTGGTCTCTTTCTTACACTCTTCTCATTTTTTGCTAAATGGAAAATAAATAAAAAGCATGTTTTCAGTCATTAAAAAATGTCTCTTTTAGAGAAACCAACCATTAATATCTCTCCCGGTACACATCAAAAATCCACAGAGAAAAAAAATCCAGATCCCATGCTAATGACAATACTTCATTTGGACTCATGTAGCAAAATTACTCTTAAAAACCTATCCCAAAGCAATGAGGGGTGTTTGATCAAGAACTAGGAAAGATGCCCATAACAAATGTGTAAATAAACTACTTTCTTCGGGTGTTTCTTCGAGCAGAGTGGCTGCATGCAGGAGCCATGAGCGGGGAGCAGGGAGTTCATTTGGCACTGCGGGGATGGCTCTTCAGTCTTCGAGGGTGCACGATGCAAATCCCAGCAGGTGGCAGCAGGAGATCAGTGCACATCTCTTAGCACACCTTTCCACAGCTCATCTGTTGCCGAGATGCTGTCATTATTTGAGAGTCAGGTACCTAAGACAAATGTACTCACTACAACAGCAATTAGTGCGCAAACATTTTTGTTGCGATGACACTGCTGTTGTGTGATGAATTTTTTAAAAGGTGATGAAAGCAGGTGAAAAAGTGATTTCCACATAGGTGTGTGTAGATGTGTATACCTGCGTATGCACTGCACTGTTTGCAGTCCTTGTGTATGTGCACACGAGATAGCTTTCAGGAGTGTCACCCACAGATACTTCAAAAGATGGCAGAGTGGGTGGAAGAAACACTCAGATTCAAGGTTAAATTCTGCTCTAGACCACACGAACAGATTAATGAGTACTGGAAAAAACCCACAGAATTGCACTTAGTCCCATGAAGTACATCCATATGCAGTTTCTGGGCTGAGAGCCCCTGTCTGCATCTGGGCAGCCAGGTCACAAGGCGTGGCGATGCCGCCGGGCTCAGGCTGGATGAAACCGCTGTGGCTGCCAGTGGCTGGCTCCTGTTTGGTGGCACTCTCTTTGGGTGCCATTTTGCACGAGGCAGTTCTCACCTCTCACTACTTGCTCACATCTCTAAACCACTCACCCAGTTAAACAAAAGGTTAGTTTTAATTTCAACCAGTTTGCAGACTCAATTCCACAGGCAGTTCTGCTTCTCTCTAGGCAAAGCTTCCAAGAGTTTTGATTCAACACCGTAACAAAACGAACAAAACCCACCCAAACTGAACAGTGAGGTAACGTCCATGTCACAATTAAGAGCACTTCAGTGGAGACTGTGAACTGTGGCAACTGAGGATTTGCAACATATTCTTATTTGCCATCTCCGCTGCAGAGGGAAAGCAAGCAGCAGTGGTTTTAGGGAGGGCAGCTGAGAGTGTTAACCCAAAAAATTCACTCTGCTTGCACAGACAACGCTGAACTGTTGCAGCTTTTAGACAATTACAAATCAGGGCTACTCCTGCTGTACTGTACCATATTTGAGAGCAAGTGGATGGATGAGATGCATTCAGGGGACATTCTGATTTTTCCTGTAAGATCACTCTCCTTCCAGAAACCAGGACCCTCCTGGTTGTGCCAGGTTGGCCTATATATCTTGAAGCATACTGCTCAGTCTGGTAGTATATGATTAAGAGAAACCCCCCATTTCCTCAAGCGATGCCAAATACTGACTTTTAGAGCCTGGGAGTGCTAATCAGAGGCCCACAATTTCTTCTCAGAAAGGGATTCAATATATTTATATACATATAAATCTAACACAGAAGCTAATATGTAGGTAATCTGTTTCTACATTTAAGGCATCCTCTGCTCTGTTACACATTCCCTCATGATTTTTTCTATAAGAAGTGAAATGTTATTATAAAATTATGGAACAAACATTTCTGAGGAGTTAATTTCTAAGCTCTGACAACCCTTCTGAAACTTTGAGGGGAGACACCCCCCGATCCCCGTATTTAGCATAACCATTGTTTAAAGCTGAAATAAAAGGAAAAAACTGCAAACAACATATCCCATTTAAAAAAAATACAGTTCATAGTAGACCACTGGTTCCATACTGATTCCATTCTTCACATATATTTGATTGCTTACATAAAAAGCATATTATGTTCTCAGCCATGAAATCCAAATCTAGAATTACTGCAGTATTTCCAGGGAACACTCAATATTTACATCTGGGTGGGTGGAAACAGATTTGCCTACTACTGAATATTGTTATTTTTCATTAAAAAAAAAAGGAAATAAACCCAGGTTTCCCTATATAACTGGTTTGCATTCACAATATCCTTGCTTTGTGATTTCATGATCGTAAAATAAAGATGGCAGCAATTTCCCATGTAACATGGAACACATTCTGTAGCGTTTAATTTACTATTTACATTTACCATAATGTAAGAAAAATACCCTTATTTATTTGTTACTTCACCAAGATGTTCATTCCCTCAGATAACTGTGTTTTAAATATTATTAGCCAGTGATGTAAGCACCTAGAACTTCATTTTAACAGGAGCTGAGGAGACAGCAGCAGCAGCATTTTTTTTTCCTCACGTCTGAAAATAACCTCAACATTTAGAAACTCAAAGAAATTACATACCCAGTCAATCTGAGACAGTATGACAGAAAGTAAAGCAGTGAACACGCTGCAGAGATTAATTAGAAGCCAACCTCTGTACAGCACAGGCAAAGCATGCCTATTCACCTGTTGGCATTTTACTTTTTTTTAGCAGGTATAGCTGCTCTGTGAACAATAAAGTCACAGTGGGCATTAGGAACAGATACACCGTCTGAGCAGCAGGAACCAAGGGATAGTATTTTTAAATGGAAATGGATGCTGTTAGCAACTCCCTACAGAAGTTTTTAATGGGAACCCAGATGGTAAATTAGGATAGCTTTAGATGAGGGGGTAGATGACATACTGAAAGTTCTGAATTTATCACCATACTGGCTACCCAGTGAATGAAGAAAGGCGTCAGAAAGAGAATTCTGGTATTTTTTTTCTCAGGATGTCCAGGTTTGAGGAAGCTGTATGGGTGCCAACATCTATGGCAAAACCCTATCTGGAAATGAACACAAAACCCCTAACTCTCGCACACAGCTCCAAACTGAGAATGCACAGCCCACTCAGGAGCAGAGGGTTTAATGGTTTGATTAATCTCAGGAGCCCTATGGGACTTTTATCTATCAGTAGAGATACTCAAACAAGAAACAGAGATGCAAAGATATAGCACAAATAATACGTGATGTTGGGTCAAATTAGTCTACAATTTCCTTTTAGCATACCTGTATTACTACAATAATTGAAAAAATAAAGGCTAGATTTGCTGAGAATAAAGTACACAGCATTGATTGACTATGCTACAGGCAGAATATATTCAGGAACATATGATGACAGTAGAGATATATAGACAGGCATAGAAATTCATCATAAATGTAATAGAATTATTCATATGAGGTATTTTGCTTTCTGCATCTAATCTAATAACTACCCTATACATTTAATCCTTAGGGCAGTCACTAAGACAAAAATTGGATTAATCTTGCCCAGCTTTTGGTGCTTAATGAAGAAACTTTTGCCAGAAGCACAGCTTTTCCAGGCCCCTTTTAGCTGATGCAGACAGGTACATTCAAGAGGTAAATCACATCACAGGAGGAAGAGAACTTTTGTTCTCCCATGGCTTAAGTGGGACTTGTGGGTGACTATTTCCAGCTGAAGTCATGCCAGATGGGATAAATCTGCAGCTACTTATAATCAAAGCAATCAAGATATTGATTGCCACATCTATCTCTTAGCAAAAAAAAAAAAAAAAAAAAAAAAAAAAAATAAAAAAAAAATCTTACAATTATCTTGCTACTCCCTCCATATCTTGCTTCTATTCCTTCCTCCGCCTCTTCAGTTCCCATTATCCACACACCTCCTTGGCCACACAGATAAGGAGTTGACTCATTAGATAAATGAATGGAATAGAAGACATGAATACATTATCCAGCTAGTTTCTTCCAAGGTACTATAAAACCATGAACCCACACGTATTTGTATTGGGTAACATCTTCTTGCAGCTTCTTAACCAGACTGTGCACCTTGTACAAATCCTCTGATACAGATCCACTTAATTCTAAACGTGAAGAGAGAAAAACCAGTACACATCTCCATTTTTTCTCCTCTTTTACAAAGGAACAATTTTTTCCATAATCCAGCTGTTAATGTTCCTTCCTCTGCCTTAGCTCTAACAACTTTTGAAATTGTTGCTCTATTTAGATTTATAATTAAGTCCTTTTAAGTTTTCTGAAAACTGCAGCTGGGTTGAGGATAGATATTGAAGTGAGCAGTGAAAAACATCAAAAGCACCAAAGATACTTCATGTGTCATTGTCTCCCCCCTACTCCCGCGTGGTGTGCTCAAGGAAAGCTTGAACAGGGGAAGCATGGAAAGAACCGGAAAGTTAGGGTCCGTAGATGAAGGGGCTAGCAGAGACTGCAGGATAACAAAAGCATCACATAAGCACGTGTCCTCATGCTTTTGCTGTCTGTGTATCAAAACAGTGTTTAAAAAACCCCCAACCAATTACCAACCCCCTAAACTCTTAGTCTAGAAATTATTGTATTTGTAAAGGAAATCAAGTGTTTTGGGGGATGTTGACATGATGCCTGAGCTCCTAACATGTACAATGCATGTATTTAATACATTCCATGAAATACAATTTTCTAGATCCACGGAAAAAGAATAACCCCTGTTGCTACGCCAAGATAAAGTTCAGAAGCTGAAGGAAGGGCTTACCACTCACTTACATAAGCTCTCCATTGCCAACAGCAACAGAACTAGGCTGTTACTTCAGTGAGGATGGAAGTAGCATGGAGACGTGAGCATTACAGAATTTGGTTTCTTGTATTAAAGCAAACCTAAATATAAGAGACTATGTAGGTTACTTAAACCACCTCTGTCAAGAAAAAGCATACTCACTGCAATGCTTGGTATCATACGCAGCCCTAAAAAAACTTGATGATTTCTGCTTGTTGTAAAACATTTAGAGAGCTGGTTCAAAGACACAGAGTATATATGAAACTCTTCTGGATATGGAAAATACACACAATAGTAACTACTGAAGTTATATTACAAGACTACTAGTACATACCACTGGCTGTTTGGTTATGTCCACCAGGTCTTTAATATTGTAATACTGATGTTTCTCAAAGGCTGAAAAAAGCATGTCCAACACTTGTTGTTTATCAGCTCGAGCCCGTTTTCCATCTTCTTTCTTCTTCTTCTCATATTCAATCTATCAGATACAAAACATGTTTTAAAGACATACATATATAACGCTGTATAATTCTCAGTGCTGAACATTAAGACACAAAAAAACCCTTCTATTTAATAAAACACTGTTCAGTGACTCAGTGCTTTTCATCTGGAAAATTTTCTTTTGAGCACTCAAATGTTCTCTAATGAACATAAACTAAGCATTTTGTCTTCAGCACAACAAGTTTTTCTGATATGTATCTCTGCTTTATCTAGTAAAAAACCTCAGAAACAGAGCCTGCATGATGTGCCCAGACTTGGAGAGAGAATTAGTATTAGTACAGGAATCCAAACTGAGACAGTATTTTCACTCCACCTCTGTTGATACCAGCTTCTGAGGTATAATGACAAATATCAAACAACCTACAAATTGCCATACTCAGGAAAATCCACAGATCAACATGGCTACATCCTCAATCACAACAACAACCTGACCAAAGGATGCTCCAATGGCCCTTGGACACTGTCTCATCTGCTTCAGAAACAGCACTCATGGCAACCACTCTGTCAATATAAAACCAATCTTCACCAAGTGAAGACACACTTTGAGGACGTGGACGGTATCTCTTCAGAAGAAACCTGGGTAGCGCACACAAAGTTACGGTAATCAAAAAAAACCCCTTTCAAGCAAGTAGAGGCCCCTTGTTGTCACACCTCATCCTAATTCAGCAGACATATTAAAAAGTACTTAACTATTATAGGATGACACAAGATGACCATATATTTTTGCAGAAACTTTTATCACCTCCTGTGATGGTGAAATTGTTACCCCTCCCCACCCTTCCTTGTTGGGCTGCATGGTGCCAGGTGTGATTCCAATCCTCCCGATTGCTCAGAAACTGTTATAATGGCCCATCATCTCCTGATGGCCTGGCACACCTGTGCCTGGGGTATGGTCAGATGGGAACAATAACAGAGCTGCACATTCATCTAATTCTTGTACAACTGCCAGAAGGCACCAGAAGTTATTTGACAAAAGCCAACTATCTTGTACCCTATAAACTGCGACCACCAGGGAGACCCTTTGAGCTCTTCTGGATCGCAGTGGGCCTGTGACCAGCATCTCCCCTGAGCTTGGATGCCTCTCAGGTACCAAAACCCTTAAGGTGTAGTCTGCTCCAGATGGAAGGCCAGGGCGAAGTCCACCCGCTCGAGTCTCAATTATTGCCCGTTGAGGAATGCCAAGGTGTTGTGAGTATTTGCTCTAAACCCGAGGGAAATTTTCTTTGAGCTAGCTTCTCTTTCACCCGTTCTTTCTCTGTTTATTGGGGTGTGTGTGTGTGTGTGTGGGTATGTATCCTTGTTTCTTTGTGTGTTTTGTCTGGTTTGTGTTCATTCTACATTATCCAAACACCTTTGTTTCTGTCTGTATGTCCGTTTTGTGTATGAGCATGTATATATGTATAAATTAAGGTACCGTTAAGTAAGTCAAAGTGAATCTTGTCATTTTAAAATCTGTGAATGAGTCACTTTTCTTTCTCTCAGCATTTCTGAATTATTTTGTAATGATAAATTGCTGTTAGTTATTAATAAATCTAGATTTCTTACTAAATCATTACCGTTGTTGATACTTTCATCCGCGACACCTCCACAAATATTTCCTGCATTTCCTCAGATTCCTCATCACAAGCAAGATTTGCACAGACCAGCACACCCCAAACAAACCCCAATTACCACAGAGCACCAACCGCAAAATCTGCCAGCACATCACTCCATCCACCCTCAGTACCACTCTTGATAATAGAAAACCATCAAGCTCCTTGGAACCAACAAAGGTGACCCAGAAGGCAATACAATTCATGTAACCATCAAGTGCTTTCAGGCAACCTGTGGGTGAATTCAAAGCAGCAAAACATACAGCATAACTGATGCATATGACCAATAAGCCTGACTGCCACTAGCATTCTTCTGTATGGGAGTTGTTCTGCCTCTGATGTCTCAAACCTGATCCTAAAAAGAAGACCTTCAGAGAAGAAGCCTAGAAATGAAAATTCACAGTTCTACTGGATACTAAAAATCTTATTTTTAAGAAGAGAGATTAGTTTTATGGCACAATTTATTTTTTCCTGTTTTCTTGCCAGCTGACTCCCTTCTACGCTCTGAGTGAAAATAGCCTGTCTCTTGGTACCTGTCCCAAAGTGGCTAAAGACTATTACCACCTTTGCCATTGCTCACAGATCTCCAGCCAGCTAACTCCTCTTTCAAATCCTGAAACAGATGTACATCATTAAAGTGAACGTAGAGCAATTGTTCCCAACCTGTAGCTTGAAATCTGTTGCTTCTGCTTAAAACCCAAGATGGGCTTGGGCAATCAAATCCTTGTCTGCTTTTCCAACTGTATGTTAGTGTTATAAAAGATACAACCTTTCCACACAAATCCACACAATTGATTTTTATCCACTAATACATTTTGTTGTAATTATTTAAGTCTTTAGCCTCTGCATTTTAAAATAAATCATCTTCAAAACAGTAATAGTTTTGTAACAATAACAAAATGTAGCATCAAGTAAAACAGTTTCCCAGTATCTTGGTTGCCATGATCTACAGAACTGCTACACCACAGAAACTAGAATAGGAACATAAATCTAGGACACTGGCCTTCCTATAAACAACAGTAAGTCAAAATATTTTCTTTTTCTAGAAGTCCAACAGGCAATTCATTAGCAGCCTCTGTTGACCTACAGGTTTTAACTGTAAGCTTTGGAAGCCCTGCTGTAGATTAATTTTCTGTTTCTCTACTAGTATAGTCTCACTATGCAGTATAATGGAAGTAGACTGCATCTAGTTGTAACCCCATGAAACAGAACTGCAATGGCACTGAAATACATATGAACAAGTCTACTCAGTTGACACACTTTAAAACTACAGTCTCCAATTACAGTCAGGATCCTTTAATACAACAGAAAATTAAGACACCGTAATATGACATAAGCTGAATTCTTTAGCAAAGCAGCATGGCCAGGGTGTAGTCAGGGGTTACCTCTGTTGGTTGCAATTCCACCAACAAAGCAGTTGGCCAGTTCTCTGGGTATGTTCACACAGTCACACAGCTATTGGACAAGCTGGATAAATCCCATTCATCTGAAAGTCTACTATGACCTGCAGCACTACTCATGTCCTGGTACGTGAGCAAGGGTTTCTGTATGAAGCACCTAAAGAAATGATACAAAGAGTGGGGAGGAGGAGGGGACTGGCCTCTTGCTGCATGAAATGTAGGATGAAGTATGAGATGTGTGAGAATGCTACCTGCGAGATAAGCAATACACTATATCAAATGTTCGATTGCCAAAAAGGTGTTTGCATCTGATCTTCAACTGATCTGATGCCAGTCAGTTTGCAACATTTAAAAATGCCTTTAATTTACACCTGGCTTAAGTCAGAACTTACTAAGGTATATGATGAGCACGTTATATTTTTCCTGCCAGAGAAACCATATTTTCAGAGCAATCATCTACCATCACAGTCATTCATGTTCTAACTCAACACAATGGTGCAGGGACTTGCTGCAAGGACACAGGTGCATCCTAAGGACAATGAAGTATGCAGGGTTTAAGACATGCATTTAAAATTTAATTTAGTATGAAGCTGTCCCTTTGGTGTTAAAAAAATACATGAGTATGTCACATCTCAGTCTGAAGTTGATACTCCATGCTAGTGTTGAAAAGCACTTATGATCCCATTGCACTGTATATTTCAGAAGTCTCATTTCCACCCACAAGAACAATTTTGGTTTCTATCTTGTAATATCCTTTGTATTTGAAAACTGTTTCTTTGCTTTGTAAGCTGGAGAGAGTTAAAGGGAAAATCCACTGTTGCATATGTAATGAATCTGACAGTGTTTCAAATAAACGAATGAGTAAGATCATCACGAATATGCCAGTATCACCATTTTACATGGAGTGAAACCAATGTAGAGAAAATACCTGGCATGCACAAAGTTGCAGACAGTGCCAGGTTACATTGTGTTTTCAGAAGAAAATGCATAAACAACAGCAACCCAAACATTATTAAATAGAATAATCTAGTTGGGTACAACAAATAATTTTTGGACCTGTTTGAAAACTTTCCTTTTGGTAGTTCATGGTCAAACACAGGAATTACTGTCCTGTAGGATACACTGTACCACATGGGAAGGAAAACATGACTACAACTTTATGGAGTCTTCTTCAAAAATCAAGACATCAACACTGTATTCTTCTGGAAGCAGAGTTTTCTAATTAGCCACTGCAATCAACTGCAGTGGGCTTTCTTGAGCCTGAGTTTTCAGCCTTTTTTGATTTAGTGATCCTCAGAATTTCCCAGTTTCTCTGTGCAATTGCTGATCAGATCACAGCTGATACCAGTAAACAACACTCTACTCGATTTTCAGTAGAGCCCTGTGCTGTTTGAGACAATGGCTTATGGGACACCAGGACTGGGGACATTAAAAATGTTTTGAATATATGCACATGAAAACATAAAGAGGAAAAGATGAATTATCCAGCCTTAATTTGTTGCCAGAAAAGCATCTGACACTTTAGAGGTCAAGTCCAGAAGATGGTAGTATAGATGAAGGCATCTGCAATGCTTGACTGAGTTCTGGGTTCCTGCATACATCTGAGGTCACTTTTCAATGTAAAGACCTATGCATTTGTTTTTGAGGTTAGCATCTTTTTTCTGACTCAAAAATACACCAGTTGAAAGATGCAGTGTGAAAGATAAAGACAGTCAGTTACAGGCTGCATCACTGCCACAGCAGCAGCTCCTATGTCTGTTCTTACCAAATCTTCTGCAATTTTCTACTTCCTCAAATAACAAAGTCAAAATGAACAAGAAGAAAAACAGAACCAGAAGCAAACTACAACCTCCTCAGGTGGAAAGTCAAGCTGAAGTGGTGGAAGAAACCAATCTCCTTTTTTGTTTTGTTTTTAAAGAGCAAGAGCAAGGCATTGAAGTTATTCTTTCTGTATGTAGCAGAGCTATGGGAATAATGTGTAAGTAACCTGGGCATAATGGGAAAAGCTACTGGAGCTCAAGACAATCCGAGAACAGTAACAAAAAATCCATGGTACTGCTTGTACCTCTTCAGATGACATAATAGCAAAATGTGCTTAGCTAGCAACTAGATACGAGCTACATCTCTCTGCATGTGGAGAAAAAAACCCTACCTCTACCTACTTTAAAATTGATGCTTCCTACACAAAGTAACAATAAAACACAAAGGAATAAAATAACAATAAAGAAATTCTCAACATTATCTTCACTGATGTTAGATCTCTGACAGGACTATTTTACAACTGGGTATAAAATCCGAATTATACAAATAATAGTCTCCTGCAAAATAACATGAAGTAGCCTTTCTAACCAAACCACAACTTTTTTTTTTTTTTCCCCTAGTAAATCTAATGCCCAGAATTGTTCTTTTCCTATTATTTTAGTTCCTCGGTTCACTATCCCCAGTAGGAGCTTCTACTTTACATTCTCTGGATGAGCTTAAGTAAATCAGAGAGGAGTGTTTGTATTCCCTATACAAATGAAATATGAATAATACTCTTAATCCATTAATGTATAAAATCAACTCGTACAGAAAGCTGAATATCAATTCCTCCCTTTGTGGAAAAGTTATTTGCAGCTGGTGTCCCAGTTGCCCACATTTTAATTAGCAACACTCTAGCATCTCCCTCTAACTTCAGCAACAGCTCCCACTGTTGTCTAAAAACACAGAGCACATTGTGAGGTGCTGTTTAAAAAAAAAAAAAAAAGCATGGTATCTGTTGCTGTTTTCTTCTCTTTGTCTTGTGAATACACTGCTCATAGCAACCTACAATGCAGCCTTTCATTTTTTTTTCCTCCACGTTTTCTTTGCAAACAGGATGTTTTCTGCAGCAGGCTTAAAGCACTTTTTGAGAGTCATATTACAGAATGCATATACACTGTAAACTAATTAGATTTCTTTAAAACTGTGTGGTTTTTAAATTTAAAAAGCATTAAAATATGATTTGATTTCAAGGAAGGACCATTTTAGAACAAGCTATCGAGCATAGAAGTTGCGAGTTTATCCCTGCAAGACTTCATACAGAAATCAATTTCTCTTTGTTTACCTTCCCAGGATGTTGCTAAGCTTCTGAAAAGCTGCCAAAATTGCCTTCTTGAAGGTATCATTATTACTGAAGCTGATGTATTACACTTTGCTAACACAAAGGTGATAAAGAAGTGAGACTAAATCTAAAGTTTCATCTGAAGATGTTTGAAAGAAGTCTTAAAAGGTCTTCCCATTCCCTGAAGCATGGGTACCAACCTCTATAGTATGGGAGAGTGGGAAGAGGGGGGACCACAAAGACGACTCTGGAGGGGTAACCAGGACCACTAGAGAACTTTTCTGCTGTATTACAGAACAATTCCAGCTGCAAGAATATTAATATTGCAACCTTGTAAACGTGTACTATTTACAGATATACAGAAAATGAAGGTCACTTTCCCAGAGAAGAAAAGCTAAGTTACAATCCTAGCATATACTCTAATTGAATTGCAATTTTTTTGTAATAAAAAGGTAGGCTTAATATAATTTCTTGCAAAAAAACCCCACCACTTTCCCCATCCTGGTATTCAAACAAGCTATTGCTATTGCCCATTCACATGTAATTTATTTCTCTCCTCCTTTCTGTTTTATGTTCATTTATTGGTATATGGTGCAGGCACACTTTAATATTCTATCATCTCCTCCTTCAGGAAATGTTACCCCTTTCTTTCTTAGTTAGTAGATACTAATTCTTTGCTCAGAAACTCCTCAGAATATGACTGAATGCATCAGTTTGTACATTTTTTCTTGTTTCGTGTGAAAAGTATTGTCCCCAACAGGGACTGTCACATGATTACAAGCAATGCAGCAAGTTTTAAGAAAGCAACTGCTGCTTCAAAACAGCAGAAAAATGTAACCAAGAAGTTAAAAAAGTTAATAGACTTGTTCTCCCCATGTACATCCTTTCAGACATCTCAACTGAACCTTAATAAAAGATTTAATGAAAAGAAAGATGTTGTAGAAAGCAGTTGTGCCTGACCCTTTAGAGTGGCTCAAATACAAGTATGGCCTGCTAGACTTTTCCCATCAGAACACCTTTAAGTTAGACATGAAAAGTGAACACAGTGTCAGTGGATTTCCATGAGCATGGACAGATATGCATAAATAAAAATGAAATAATTAGGACACAAGAGCATCATAACTTTTAAGAAGCCTGGTTGTGTCCTAGTTATACCTCTTGAATCTCACACAAGACTTAAATTTCTGTAGTGATAAACAGCAGTTTGCAACTGGAATAAAGATTCAAAGACTGTCTCCAGGTTGAAGTCATAGTGTTTTAACTATGCTAGTGTCAGGGAAATGGCACAGAATCCCACTATAAAGAGAAGCTATATAGCACTGTAGCTTATTCCAGAAGTAAAGAAGAGAATAACAGTAACAGCATAAAACAATATACTCATATAAAATTGCATTTGCATAGCAGGATATACCAGTGTGACTATTTTGGTTAAATGTCATTCCCTTAGCTGAAATAGTTATATTGGTATGATCATCTATGTATAGATCAGACTTTGAACAGTCACTACTACAAAACAGTCCCATGAGAGAGAAACGATTATTTTTGGTTCTGTGGAAATAGACTGCCTTTCAGAATAATGCTTAAATATCATCCAGTATATTGTCATTTGTTTTATGTAAATAAAATCTTAATAAAAAGTGTAAAAGTTTAAATGACTAACACAGTGACTCATTTTCAGTATGACTTAACATTTCTCACATTCAACAGTAGCAGCGATTATATATGCATACAGACAAATTACTCAAAGAGGATCTTTACGAAAAAGGACATTATAGTTTGTATGTACATCAACTGATCTGGAACAGCAGTGTGGGTGTAATATTGACAAAGCCAATGATGCAAATAACACGTACTACGAAGGTATGAAACTGTGAAAAATTATCAGCCGTTATTCTTTTCTACTTGTTGTCAGTTCCTGCAAAGGACTGCAAACCAATCACTCTTTTCAAATCTTTAACCCAGCTCCATATGATATTTTATTTGGCTCAAAGGAGTGCTTCCACATCTCATCGCAAAAAGCCAGAACTGCCTTTTATCCCCGAAATTCAAAATTACATATCAAAACAGACTAGAGGAAGAATGTAATAAAGCCAGTAGAAAATGCTTGGGTAAAGGGAGTTTGCCTTCCATCAAGTAACATCAGAGTTAGAACTGGCAGACCTTAGCCCCAAGGGTGATATTATTTTTGCGACAGAAAGAAGATCCCCAGAACATAAAATCAGGGAAAAGCCAGGTAACATAGAGCATTTCCAAAGACAGTGGCCAACTGCGAGTGAAAAGAGCTGCAAGACAGCAGCAGAGCAGTTCTGGAGTCCTAAGCCAGACTGCTCCTGAAGAAGAAGGGAAAATATTGAAAGCTACTTACATTATACTGATGATTAGCCACCGGTTTATAGTTTGTGGTTACGGCTTTGTCCAGCTGCTGTGATAGTCTTACAGGTTTAGAAGACTCTTCTATCTGTAATCTGCAAAAGAAAACAAAAAGAGAATAAAAAGTTCAGACAAGCACACACTCAAAATTAATTCTAAAAACCTGCAAGTATGAACCAGTCCTTATCAAAGACAGCTGCAAACAAATCATAAGGCAAACCTGATGCACTCTTCTGAATTAAGTTTTTCCTACTCTATTTTTGTTCAAGGACACTAAATTTTTAGGACTATATATGCTACAGAAGACACTGAAATGCTGAAAACTAAGCAACTGTAAAGGGAAGATACTAAAAGCCATGTCTAAATAAAAGTTGTATTCCAAAAGCTTGACACTCAGGTGGAAGAAAAGCCCTTGCCCTTAGAAAAAGTCTAACCCAACCCAAATTAACCAAGAATCTCCCAGTTTACTCAGCTGAGGGCTGAAAAAGCTATTTGATTCACCTCTGCTGACTCCTAGAGCACAGCAAAGATTGGACTTCATGACTTTCTTCTGGTTATTTTAATGTAAAAATATAAATTTCTGTGACCTTTCTTTTGGCACTAAAGCACAGTAACAGAGCACAAATAACTGTTTTACAAAAACTTCTAAAAACATGGAAGATAGAGAAATCCACCCAGGTGCAAATCAATGTACAATCAAGTCTCAACCATACAGTCAACAATAGGTGACCTTCAGTCCTCTTCGGGAAAGACTCTGAGGTCAGAGGTTGAACACATTTTGTCAAGCTCATCCCCATGCAATTTAAAGCTTATGTGTATGATGGTGTAGGAGGAGTGCTCCATTTACTTCAGGTTTAGCACTCAAGAACGACTACTTGAAATGAAGATGCAAGAAACCAAGCTACGTAAGGTGCAGGGCAACATCCCTTCAGGGAAAATAGCACATACGATTAATGTTATTCCAGTGAAGTTATTTTGTTTCCAAACATGTATCTTACAGGAAGAAAGAGTCCATTTTCACTAAACACAATGAGATTTTTAGACCAATATATGTACAGTGATGTTTGCTTCTTTCAAAAAAATTAATATGGTGACATTAATACAAATAATAACTACGTGTTTACTAATGTAAAACACCAATTGATAAAACAGACAGTATTTAAAAAAAATGTGTTTAAGATCACTGATTTATTTTTGTAAAAATATATCACGCAAACAAACCCCTAAATTTAAATTCAGCATGCTTCTGATTTGACACTTGAACAACGTAAATAAATGACATTCGAAGTAAACGTTAAGAAATAAAATCTCTAGTTTTAGCAACTGGAAATAAAGCCCATCATCATTCACAGCTTGTGTGGCTGGACAGTATTTGCTGGCAGTTTTGTCTCATGCATAGATATATCACAAAATCACTGAATCATCTAGGTTACAAAGGACCTTGAAGATCATCTAGCCCAATCGTTAACCTAACACTGCCCGTTCCCAACTACACCAGATCCCTCAGCGCTATGTCAACCTGACTCTTAAACACCTCCAGGGATGGGGACTCCACCACCTCCCTGGGCAGCACATTCCAACGCCTGACAACCCCTTCTGGAAAGAAATGCTTCCTAATATCCATTCTAAACCTTCCCTGGTGCAACTTGAGGCCATTACCTCTTGTCCTGTCACTTATTATTTGGTTAAAGAGGCTCATCCCCAGCTCTCTGCAACCTCCCTTCAGGGAGCTGTAGAGGGCGATGAGGTCTCCCCTCAGCCTCCTCTTCTCCAGACTAAACACCCCCAGTTCCCTCAGCCGCTCCCCGTACGACCTGTGCTCCAGACCCTGCACCAGCTCCGTTGCCCTTCTCTGGACACGCTCGAGTCATTCAATGTCCTTTTTGTAGTGAGGGGCCCAAAACTGAACACAGGAATCGAGGGGCAGCCTCACCAGTGCCGAGGACAGGGGTCAGATCCCTTCCCTGTCCCTGCTGGCCACGCTATTGCTGACACAAGCCAGGATGCCACTGGCCTTCTTGGCCCCCTGGGCACACTGCTGGCTCCTGTTCAGCCGGCTGTCAATCAGCACCCCCAGGTCCCTCTCTGACTGGCAGCTCTCCAGCCACTCCTCCCCAAGCCTGTAGCGCTGCTGGGGGTTGTTGTGGCCCAAGGGCAGCCCCCGGCATTTGCCCTTATGGAAACTCCTCCAGTTGGGCTCAGCCCATGGCTCCAGCCTGTCCAGGTCTCTCTGCAGAGCCTCCCTGCCCTCGAGCAGATCCACACTCCCACCCAACTTGGGGTCATCTGCCAACTGACTGAGGGTGCACTCGATCCCCTCGTCTAGATCATCAGTAAAGATGTTAAACAGGAGTGGCCCCAAAACCGAGCCCTGGGGTCACCACTCGTGACCGGCTGCCAACTGGATTTAACTCGGTTCACCACAACTCTCTGGGCCCGGCCATCCAGACAGTTTTTACCCAGCAAAGCGTGTGCCCATCCAAGCCACAAGCAGCCAGTTTCACCAGGAGAATGCTGTGGGAAATGGTGTCAAAGGCCTTGCTAAAGTCAAGGTAAACAACATCCAGAGCCTTTCCCTCATCCAATAAGCACGTCGCCCTGTCACAGAAGATCAGGTTTGTCAGGCAGGACCTGACTTTCATAACCCCATGCTGACTGGGCCTGAGCATCTGGTTGTCCCACATGTGTTGTGTGATGGTACTCAGGATATAAACTTGCTTCCTCTTGAATCTCTGTAGATTTTTCATTTGTTACACAGTTTTAATTACCCTTAAGCAACCATCATCTTGTATTCTACATTTCTAAATCAGGAGAAGGTATATCAGTGCCTTCTCTGTCCAAATGTAGCATATTTTTTCTTAGCCTGAAGGAAAATCAATTGGAAGGTAAATGAGCAATGAACTCTTTTTACCCCTGTTCTGGAAAATAAAAGTAGAAGTTTTTATCACAAGAGTTTATCTTTTGGCCTTCAATCAAATTAAATTATTTTAAAGATTTTGCTGATCTGGTTACCAGCGGTCTTCTAAAGTCCCATTTCACAGTGGCACCGGCTAATGCTAAATCAATATCTTTTCTCCTAAATCTTTCTCTTCATTGCTCTTTTTTTTTCTTTTTTTTTTTTTTTTTTTTTTCGTCTCAATGACTTTATTTTTAAATAGTTTGGCTTTATTTTATATTTTTTAAAAAATTCCTTGCAGTTCTTTGCCATTTTTCCTATTGTTTTAAGCTGGACAGTTTTCCAGTCCTCCTTCTCCCCCATTGTACTTATTTTTCCATCTCACTTGTCCCCTCTCACATTTTTTCTTTCCATAAAGGAGGTTTCCTGTTCAACCTCTTTACTGATATTGCTCCCATTCATGAGATACAGGCTCTTGGAGATGCTGGGAATTCCTGTCTCTCCTTTCAATTCCAAGGCCACTGCACCACCTTCACATGGACCAGATTTAGATATCTGATTTGTGATGTTGTTCCTAAGTCCTTCTCATTACAGCTGCAGCACAGGTAAGTGACTGACAAGGTTCACAACAACACTAAAATACATCATCCCGTTTTCAGGGAGCACGGTGCTTAGAACAGTGGCATTTCTCCATGATTAAATCCTCCTTGCACTGGGCTTTACATTCAATGTAAATTTACATTTACATATAATGTAAATTTACAATATCCTCAATTTCTTCAGGAAAACAGCCAAAGAACATTAGCCCTTCAATGATGAAATGTCAGAACACTGAAAATATGGACTGAACACCTCAGACTGTCCTCAGAAGGAAAAGCTTTAGAATGCTGATGTCAAACTGCCTCCAGCTTCTTAATAAATTAGATATTTAAACGTGCAAACAATTGACAGCTCTGTAGCCTAGAGCCTGTTGTGAACTTCGGACACCATTCAGTGTTGAAGGTCTCTTCCTGTTCTGGTATTTTAAAATTACAATACAGGAAATTTCAATCCCCATTTCAGTGCAGCTTCCATAAATTAATCCTTCTTTCATAAAAGAACACCAGCAATTTATTTCTTAACATTTTTTCCTTGCCATGCAGGATGGGCATTTCAGTTTATTTTAACCTGCTAATTTCAAAACAAGTAGAAAACACAGAGCTAATGCACTTCTCGGAGGCCTTCAGAGGTTGATGGCATCTAACATGTGAAGTTCCCCAGCATACAATCTTGAAAGCAAACAAAACCTTCTTGCCTGCTTAGGAAATGGAAGGGAAGCCTACCAAGTGAAAATGGAAATGGACAATCTAAGTTTGTTTGTGAAATGGCAGAAGACTTCAGAAAGATCTACATGTACCAAACAACAAATATATCACCTACAAATATATTTGTCTCTGTAACAAATTCCAGATATATCCACATTGTACTTCAAGATTTCTTGTCAAAGTTTTCCAAATTACAATGCACAGATCTCAGATGGTCTTTAGAAAACTGGCTAACAGTACAACGTTAACTTTTTTCTGTTTCTAGTGGATAAATTGCCATAGTGAGAACTAAAAATATATTACATTCCTAGTATTACTTTTTAATGCAAGCAATTACAGCAGTTGCTACATGCTAATATGAAAATCTAAATGGGAAGCATGGTGACTCAGGAGGCAAACCTTTTTATTAATATACATTTATTCTACACATGAATCTTGCTCTTCTCTCTAATGGCTGCCCTTCTCATTTCCTTTTCTGCAGCTTACAAGGCTTCCTGGAGAATGACAGAGCCTCAGGTTGCCTTTCTTTCACTGGATTTCCATGCAGAATATGGTCACACAATCCTATGTGGAACAACAGCTGCTGTACATCTGGAGTTAGCCTCCTCAAAATGCACAAATACAGGTAAAGGACCTGACAAAGGAGCTACAAACCCCAAATTAGCAAATGGTTCATGTGTAGGTGAAGCACTGAAATTTGCTTAGTGCACTACAAAGGGTAAAGACAAATAGCCTGTAATCATTTTGTCCAGATGACTTGTTGGTACAGACACTATTTGCTATGGTGTGTTTTGGTTGTGTTTTTTTTTTTTTTCAAAAGCATGCCATAATTCACCCATATTCAGAAAGTAGTATGTCTGGGTGAATATAATTAACTTTTAAAATTTGTATAGCT